TGGTGCCCTTTCTGCCGTGAATCTCAGGGGCGCGATCCCTCAACCGTGCATGCAACGCATCACTTTGACGCTACTTCCACGACATCTCCGCTACCCGCAGGCGCTGGTCGGGACGGGGCCTGAACACCAGATCCTCGTGCATTCCGTGAATCTCGAAAGCCTGGAAGACGCCGAGGAAGAGAACGTCCTCCTTCATCCGGTCGGCCAGTTGCTCCAGCAAGTCTGCCCTGCCTTCCTCCAAGGTCGCGGCCCTTGCCTCTTCCAGTAATTCCTGCAGACCCGCTTCGCAAACCCGCGACTGGAAGTAGTAGCAGTTGAGCAGCCGACCGGCGGGCCGGCCGAAGTCCAGGCTGGGCCATTCCGGCGTAAACTCGATCAAGTGCCCCGAGCCCGAAGAGCCTGCGCAGTTGGTCGGGGGTTCTGCCAGGTTCTGGGCAGTAATCTCGCCGGCTTCGGAAACGGCGTTGCCGACGCCGCAGTTGCGAATGCTGGTCCACAGGCTGCGTTCCGTAACCTCCACCTTGCCATCTATCCCCACGGCCTCCCAGTAACCGGCCATGGCCTCGTATACTTCTGGCTGCTTGGGCACCCGTCCTTCGCGGCCGATAATCCTGATCTCCTCACCATCGTAGCCCACTTCCTGCAGCCGCCGCTGCGACAGGTCCGGGTCGTATTCCCAGTAACTGCCGTTATGCTCGGTTATGCCCGGCATCCCTATTACCCCGGGCAATGGTGTGCAGGTGGTGGCCGAATTGAATATCTCTTCCACTATTTCCTGGCAGTTGATGGCATGGACCAGCGCCTGCCGGAACTTGGTCTGCTTCAGCATGGGGTGCCACAGGGTGTCTATGAAACATCCTTCCACCTCCCACTGGGGCACCGAGATGGCCTGGGGCACTTTGGGTATGTCCTCTACGTTGAGTAAGTAGGTATGGTCCGCCTCTCCGGTTTGGATCATGGCCGACCGCACCGGAGTCTCCAGTCGCCACACGTACCGGACATTGGGGATGGCGGGGCGGGGCAGGTCGTTGCGACCGGACGGTACGTAGTCCTCGTATGCCTCCGAATCAACATACTGGCCGGGAACATACTCCGCCATCTTGTATGCGCCAAATCCGACGGTGGCCCTTTCCCGGACATCTGCCTCCGTGGACTGCCACCATTCCGGAGCCTGGTAAGCCACACTGGTAATATCACCAGGCAGGATGGGGCAGTTCTGCGACGCGCCGTCATTGTAATTGGCGTGGGCACAGGTGATGTCCAGGGTCATCTCGTCCACCACCTCGCCGGTCATCGGCCCGTGTACTCCAAAGCCCAGCCCAACCTGGGGGTCGCCGTTGTGGTTGATGTTCCACGCGGCCGTCGTGGCGTTCCATGGCTCACCATTGACGAACTTCACTCCCTCTCGCAACGAGAACCGCCACCGGTCCGGCGCCACCTGCTCCCAGCCGGTGGTGGACGTGGTTGGCCCCAGTTCCAGGGTAGTGGTGTTCAGCCAGACCAGTGCCTCGCCCCAGTTATGTACGACGATTGAACTGGTCTCGGCGCTGCCGGTGCTCCACGGCGAGAGGGCATCAGGCTCCGTGGGTATGACGACGACGATCGAATCCTTGCCGCTGCTTTCCGTCTCCGGCATGGCGGCGGGTATCGGAATCGCCGTTGGAGAAGGGGCCGCGGGTTCGGCGGCAGACTGGGACGCACCGGACGCCTGGGGCGCCGCCGGAGCCTGGGTGGGGGCAATCCCCATGGCTTCCGCTGCTGCCGTGGGCTGGGGCTGGGCCGCGGGCTGGGTCTCCACCTGCTGCGGCGCGGCAGTGGGCGCCGGCGGTTCGGTGGGACTGGCGGGAGGCCCACATCCTGCGGCAACCACCATAGCAGATACCATGATGATGACTAATAATGCGCGGCTGATCTGCACTGTCTTTAGCATATGGCTCTACCTCTTCCTAGCTGAATTTGCAGTCAAGGATGCCATATCACATGTGTTTTGCCAAATAATCTATGTAAGCTTTCAGAATCAGATCTGCCGTTGATTTTTACATTCAATAGCAGGATATTTATTGACTTAAATCGTTACACATGTGCCCTTCTTTTGCCTCGCATTGCCTCATGCCCTGCCTGCAGCTCCAGCATTTTTATAACTCTGCATAATATTCCATGTCAGTTATATATACTACAACTATTGACAGCTCCTATGTGAGGCGATATATCATATATGTATAGTAGTTATTTTCATTTTGAATATCACGTTCGCTTAGGGGTGATATTGGAGGTGCGAAATGGGCTAAGAAGATTGAGGTCTCTCCCCGGGATGGCCCTGCTGGGGCCCTTTACCCTTACCAATGGCAGAAGACCCAAATTTTTACCAAGATAAGCTTCGGAGAAGTCCAGATGACAAGGACAATTTCACTCACCCTGGTTTTTGGCGCCCTGGTGGCCTTGTTTGCCCTGTTGGCTGTGACCCTGCTCAACGCCGACGATCACAACGATAAACTGTATGTGCAGGTTTCCCTCACCAACCTGACTCGCGGGCAGGTATTGTCCCCCGTGTTCATCGCGCGGCACGACGGGAACTCTGACCCCCTCTACTCCCTGGGCCAGCCCGCCAGTGACGCACTGGCCAAGATGGCCGAGGACGCCGACGCCACCAACCTGTTGGCGGACTGGGACCCCGAGACCAACGGCAACGTAAGCGAATCCATGCTGCTCGCCCTGGACGACGGACCCATTCCACCAGGCAAGACGGTCAAAACCCATTTCGAAATTGATGACGGCAACACCCTGATGTCCTTCGCCAGTATGCTGGTCTCCACCAACGACGCCTTCATCGGCGCCAGCGGGCTGGATGTTTCCCGCACCCGCACCGTCACGCTGACCGCCTACGACGCCGGCAGCGAAGCCAACAGCGAGGACTGCGCCTACATCCCCGGCCCGCCTTGCGGCAACCACGCCGAGGACCCCGCCGAATCCGAAGGATTCGTCTACGTCCACAACGGCATTCACGGCGGCGAAGGCTCCGGCCTGACCCCCGCAACCCACGACTGGCGCGACCCGGTAGCCCGCCTGACCATCAAAACCTGGAGGCTCGACCAGTAAACTAGGAATCGGGAACAGCAGCTACCGCCCAGTAACGGGTGCGGCGTTGGAAACAAGCAAGGGGATGGACTTCAGAGGTCCATCCCCTTCGATTGTTCCCGACAATACCAGTCAAGAAGGGGGCAGCATCAGACAATGCCCCCTTCCGCCATTACCCAAACCCGCTCCGGCACCTGAAATACCAGGGGCAAGATATCTAAGAGGAGAATGGGAATCGCGTAACTGCTCCACCCTTTCTCTACTGACAGATGCTTGTTGTCTTGTTGATAAGCCTCGGCTAACGTGGTATCGGTGTTCTTTCCGAATCCATCCCCTCGCTTTTAAGTCGCTTACGGAGAACACCAAACTATGCCAAGCCAAAAGAGGTAAGTGCTAAACAATGGGAATCCGCATACAACCACGACCTGTAGAAATACCAGCAGACGACCCTTTCAAACACGACTTGCTCGACAGAAAAGAGTCGGCGGAAGCGCTCACGAACCTGCTGAGAAACATGGACGGCCCATGTGTATTGGCAGTTGACGCTGGCTGGGGTACAGGCAAAACAACCTTTCTTAGAATGTGGAGTCAACACCTACGTAACGACGGGTTTAAAACCGTTGAATTAAACGCTTGGGAAACCGACTTTACAGACGACCCTTTCCTCGCTATTTCATCCGAGATTACGAATCAGCTGGAAGACTCCGAAAACCAATCACTCAGAGACAGACTCGTTGGGGCAAAAACGGCCGCGGCTCAAGTTGCTAGGCGGACAATTCCTGCAGTAATCAGAGCCGCAACAGCTGGCGTATTGGACCTTTCACCACTTATAGAGAAAGAAATCGGACAGACCTTAGCATCCGTCACGGAAGACGGGTTGGCTAGTTTCGCTCAGAAACAAGCTTCATTTCTTGAGTTTCGAGAATCTTTGGAGGCGCTGGCCCAGGGAGTTGCTACGGCCAGTGAGGAGCGCCCTCTAGTAATCATGATCGACGAGCTAGACAGGTGCCGCCCCAATTACGCCATTGAACTCTTGGAGGCAGCTAAGCACTTGTTTTCAGTTGACCATGTTGTCTTCGTCTTAGCAATCAACAGAGAGCAGCTTGCCCATTCAATTAAAGCCGTGTACGGTTCCGGTTTTGACTCAGACGAATACTTGCGGAGATTCTTTGACGTGGACTTTAGATTGCGAGTCCCCAACAGAAGTCACTTTATATGGGCCATCATAGACGGGCTAAGAATCGAGAATTACTTTGAACGAACTACTGATAGAACGGCTAGGCAGGAGTTTCATGAGGCGAAGAGACTGCTTACTTCGTTCTTGGACAACTCCGGCTTAGGCCTCAGGACTATTGAGCAGGCTCTTCACCGCTTTGGCTTGCTATTCGGGTCTTTACGAAGTGATACCAGAGTATTGGGAATCGCTGCCGCTGTAGTCCTAATAATTAGGACAATCGACACGAACCTTTATCGCCAGTTCATCAGAGGAGAAATTGAAGACTCGGAACTTGCAGATGCCATTTTTCCTCGCGCTGGACTGACGCTAGTCCGTAGCCAACCAGAAGCTTGGCTCTTCGAGGCGGCCCTTATTGGTGGAGGACTAGAAGTGAAGGGGGTCGAGGCTTTGCACCGAGGACCTGAAAGTTCGTCTCTCTGGCGCCGCTATAAGGACATTTCAGATAAGGAGCAAGCAGATAAAATTCCCTTATCTCGCCGTCACCATTCGGCAACCCATATCCTGCAAAACTTAAGCAATCTTTTTAATTATGGCTCTACCTACAAAAGCAATGACGGTATGTTCCATCAATCAATTGGTTACTTTGGCTTCGGGCGTGCATATGAGCGGTTGGAATTGTTTGCGAACGACCTCATCGAGGTTGATTCGGCAAAGGACCAAATCCATGAGGCTGTAGGGAATTAACCCCCTACCCCAAATCATCCAAACACTCCCTTACCGGCTTGGCCAGGCAGGTGAAAATCGGCGTGTCCCGCTCCGTGTAGGGGCGGGCTTCCGAGTTCCGCAGGTCCATCACCAGGTCCAGGAAGGTGCCGGGGTGGTCTGTCTCGAAGCCCAGGACAAACTCCTGGTCGTCCAGCCCGAATGAGTAGGACGTGCTGATCTTCACGTCCGGATACTTGTGGCCGATGACAAAATGCTGGCTCATCATCCGCTGCCGTTCTTCCTGGGAGCACTGGTACCACTCGTGGGTCTTGACGAAGGGATAGACGAACCGGTACTTGCGGCCCACGATGCGCATGGTAGCCGTGGTTCCCTCCTGTCCCTCGTGCCGGTGGTCGTCCACGTAGGCGAGCGGCGCGTCATCGCCAAGTAGGAGTGGGGCGTGTGCAGGTAGCCGGCCAGTTCGGTGCGGTTAAGCTGGGCCATCAGCTCATCAATGGCCTCCAGCGAGCGGCTGACCTTCCACAGCATGAAGTCCACGTCGCCGCGGGTCCCACCAGGCTGTAGCTGGACATCGATATCCGGTCGGTAAATTCCCCCAATGTAGCGGCAAACTCTTCCTTGCTGCGTTCCCGTTCGTCCCGCGATAACTGCCGCCACTCCGGGGCCACCTTGTAGAAGGAATATTTTACGAAATCCCGCGCCTCGTCCTGGGTCATCTGCGCCCTCTCCTGCCTGCCATTGATTGATCCACTCTCCCGATGATAGCAACGCTCCTGCTATCGCTTCACACCCAGTATTCACAGGCAGGTCTATCGCGTTCTCACCTCAGGCCAAACGGACGTTCCTGCGAAAGCGGAACCCTCGAACCATTCGTGCCCATTTGTGCCCATTCGTGGATAAGAAAGGAAACCCGCCATCCGCCCTCGTGTGCCTTGGTATACAGACCCGGTCCCCATGCCCTGCTGCACCCCTTCCTCAGTCCGCAAACCAAACACTCCTAGTTACATAATCTTTGTAAGGCCCCTCAGACCCCGTTTATCCAGAGCTTGTCGAAGGAGCCACATCTTTGCCTTTTCAGATACAGATACATAAAACCTCAGTATCAATCCCGGTTACCACTCTGGTTACCACAGCTTTGTCATAAGACGGATAGGGCTTTTCGGCTGTTTACTAATCCAATTACAGGAACCTACGCCCGAAACACCAATACCGGTCTGGCCAGTGCTTGACGGTCCGACCGAGCTCTTGAGTAAGCCCAGGAACCAGAGAATACATTGACGAATACTCGCCACAACGGGCCGCGGCTGCGGCTGAGAACATCAACATTGGCGAAAGGTACACGGTTAACTCTGGGCAGGCCGAGACCAGCGAGCTGATGATATCAGCCAAGGCAAGCTGGCGCACACTGAATCAGGCGTCATATCCAAAGGCCAGCGAATACCAGGGTTGCCCCGGCCCAGGTATTCGACATTGGGATAAGAGGGCCGCCGTCCCGCAATTCCTGAACACGGCGAAGTTGGCGCTTTGTTGGATACATTCGACTGTATCTTGAGCCGTTGCCTACGGCTTCAGTCGCCGCCCCGACAGGGTCGGAGCCGCCAGGACAGCCCGTAATCCTTGTTACGTGGCCTCTTTCTTGAGTGCCGCCCCTTGGTAAGGCGGAAGTAAGGGCCATGGGTTCCACAACGCCTGTAATGCGACTCTCAGAAGCCTTACGGCCATGCCCAGGGACGGAGTCGGGTTCTACGCTGTTGGGATCGCATGTTCCCCTATTCCTGGCTGGTGATTGGAGTGCGTTGTTTCTTGGCCCTGCAGACCAGTAGGCTTTGCCAGGGCTTGCCGACTTGGGTGGCAAACCCAGCCGGACTGGGTCAGCGCCGCCGACCCGTGGGGCATTTACCAGGCCGCGTTGGCCTTTGGGCAGAACTGGATTGGCGATTTCTCCCCAAATCCGAGGACGGGTTCGTAGGTGCTGTCTGCGCGGACAAGTTGGCCCCTCGGTAGAAAAGAGTCGGTTGCTATTAGATTGCGCTGATGGTAGTCGGCGAAAGGGTGTGCTATCTCCCCTTTCCCCTCTGCCCCGCCGAGGTCAACGGCGGGGCCAAATATTTTCGGTTCAGCTCTTAAACGACTTACCTGCGGGGCAGGTTCGCCATGTAGTCCTCGACCTCTCGGCTGGGCCACCTGCTGGTACCGGCACTGGGCTTTACCGGGCGAGGGAACTGTCCCTTGTTGATCATCCGGTGCAGGGTGGACCTGCTGATCCCCAGCAGTTCACATACCTCTCGTGACTTCAACAACTTGGATGTGGAGTCAACCATCCCTTTCCTCCAAAAAAACCACAGCCTCGTGGCAGATTGACCAAGGCTTCTCGACCTGGGGCCACCAACCGGCACCCTGAATATTCAATGCCCGGTTGTTCAATGTCAGGCTATTCAACAGCTGGCTATTCAATGATTGAATGCGGCTCCTGGCGGAGTCAGGCCTGGCAAAACCCGAGCGCGGTGAACTGGTCATTATTCCTCTCTCTTGGGCTTTACATCGGTGGTTGGTGAGCATTTCCCGGGTTCACTCCAATTGACTTTTCGTAATAGGGGACTAGAATAAAATAGATGGAGGTAGAGGGACTCCAACCCTCCCGGTAGGAAGAGTTGGAAGGCTCTCCGGCAGCATGCCACCCCCATCGCTGGTGGAGGCGTCGCCAAGACGCCGCCCCCGCGACATTGCAGGGTCTTTCACTGTAGTGTCGTGACCTATGCCGGTACCACATGACTTGACCTCCTGTGGCATCGGGTTGAGGGACCGGTGAGAGTGACTTTGTCAGGGTCCTGGTCTCACCGGTCCGCGGAAACCGTTACTATTGTGCCTTGCTTTTTCCGGTTTGGCAAAGCGATATACACTTGTAAAACATTGTTGACCCGCGCCGGGTGAATCCCGCCCGGTGGAACATAAAAAAGGCCAAGTAATTCACCCCCGGGTCCTCAATCGTTCCTCAGAGAGGCGCCTGTTTGTCCCCAAGCCCATCGGATGCCCCTTGAGTCTCTTTGGCAATACCCTGCAGGCAACCTGTAATCTGCTTGGTTTCATCGCCACCAACTTACCCCAACAGCCACCTCAGATATCCGCTTGGAAAGCCTGGTCAAGGTCGGCATTGCCAAAGCCGCTGAACCTGGCCAACCCGTTGTTGCTCCCCGGAAGGACTACTCATCCCTGGCCTCCGGCTGACTGGCAGTCCTGGTTGCCCCTTTACCGGCTTCCCAAGGGCTTAGCGGGACTGCCACCCGGTTGCCGCGTCAATGAGGGAGTAACCGGTCCAGGCGACCGGGCAGGGCTAGTCCTCGTCCTTTTCATAGATGTAAACCCGCTCTGCCCGGCGCCAGGCGTGGGTAGGGATTTCGTTGTTGCCGATCAGGTCCCGGGCATAACGCCGGGTGGCCCTGATCTTGGTGGCCAGGTACTCTTCCAGGGTCCCGTCCTCGGTCATGCGCCGGAGTTCTCTGGGACTGGTCCGCTTCTCATGCTCGATGATGCGCTTCCTCAGGGTGTTGTCCCCCGGGTCGCCCCGCTGCTCCCTGGGCGTGTCACTGACATACTGGATCTCGGCCTCAGCCATTGGAATAACCCCCTTTTGTACTCCGCCTCTCAACCATGCGGGCTGGCCGGACTGCTCTGTCCTGGCCCCTGCGCTTCCGTGGCCTGGGCGGAACCTGGAGAAACTGGGTCTCCCGCCGGTACTGGCGTCCTCCGGTTCTCCGTGGCCCAGCATCCTGGAGCCGGCAAGGCTCGCCACGGCCTGGGCTGAAACGACCGCGTCTCGTTGGCTTTCATGCCGGCCGCCGGGGCGACCAATCCGTCCGGGCCCACGCTGAGGGCCACAATGCTCGCCCGGGGGATGAGCCCGGGGGATGATATGCGGGTTCCTCTCCTAGCAGTCGGCTGTTTTCTTCGTGCCAGTGTCGACGCTTTGGACCCGTGGTTGGCACCTCGGGGCTTGGCCCGCCACCTTGACGTCCATGGCCTCGAACCTGGTTCTCTCGTATACCAGGTCCTGGCACTCCGAGGATTGGGCAAAGGCTTCGTCCCTGTCCTGGTCCCCTTCCTCCGACACCCTGACGACCGGCGGGCCGCCGAAGTGCTCCCGCTGGCCCTTTAACTCTATAACCGGGCAGGCCGCTGCCTGGTAGGGAGTCTGAGGGTTCGGGTCCACCAGGGCAAAACCGTCCAACCGGGTGATCCCAGCGTCGTCCCGCACTGCCGGTACCTGCTTGTCCTTCTTGTTGACCATAACCTATTCTACCAAATCCCCGACCCGGGGCCCGGGGCGGCCCAGGCGCCGGGAAACCACCTTTCTCAATGGGGAAATGTTAACGGAGAATTCTTCCGAACATTAAATATATCGGTAAGGGGACAAGGAGGACAAAGGGGACAAACAGCACAAGGATTCGCCAAATGGCGCAATTGGTTTGGTGCGCAAGTACAAGAAGTGCAATCCTGAGCTTCAAGATCGGCGACAAATCGCGAAAACTGCAACTGCACGAAGCTAAAGGCCCTGATGGTGTTGCTGGCCCCCTGGAGTATCACAGGCCTTCCGACTCCCCCGGGTCAATATCTCTAAACCCGTTAGATTTCAGACACTATCGACGAGGGTTTCTTGCCGCTGCAACCAAGGGTGATGCCGGTCCTTTTTCGGGAGCTATGACCAGACAGTTTGGTAGCTTCCTGCTCCAGGATCCTGTGCCCCAGCATTTCGAGCACCGGCGGGGCGCCGAAGTTCCCCGCTGGTCCTTACCTCTTTGACCGGGCAGGCCGTTCCCTTGTAAGGGGTCTGAGGGTTCGGATTAACCGCGGCGCAACCGTCCAACTGGGTGATCCAGGTGTCGTCCCGCAGTGCCGGTGCCCTTCTGTCCTTCTGGTTGGCCATACCCCATTCTACCAAATGCCCGATCCGGGGCCCGGGGCGGCCCAAGCACCGAGAATCCCCCTTCTTCAATAGGGAAATGTTAACGGAGAAACCTTCCACGTAATAAATATATCGGTTACACCGCAAAGGGCGCAAACACCGCAAACACCGCAAGAATTCGCCAAATGGCCCAATTGGTTTGGTGCTCAGCCACAATAAGTACAACTTTGGCCCTACAACAGCAGTGACAAGAGTCGAAAGCAACGTTTCCAGGAAGCAAGAGGGCCTTGACGGGATTGCCGGGCCCTTGGAGGATCACGCGCTTTCCGACGTCCCCCTGTCAATAGCTATAAGCTGTTCGGATTTCAGACTGTGTCGACGACGGTTTCCTGCCGCTACAACCAGGGGTGGTGCTGGCCTATTCTCGGGAACCGTGACCCGGTAGGGAAAGGAGTTCGTTGCTTTGCGATTCTGTACTGACTAACTGGTCGGCCACAAAAACGAACCTGTACAGTTGGCATTTAATTGGCGCCTCATGGGGGTAATGACGGGCACCCTTCCTCCCTGGCGTTGCCTGCGTGTTTTCGGCTGTTACCCATGCTGTTCCGGTGTAGCCGGTTGCCGTGGACCTGCCTGAACGGGATAAGGATAACTACCGCGTTAGTAATATTCGCTATAAGGGCAGCAAAGCCAGCAAGAACTGTAAACACAGCACATTCTTGACTCGAATGCGCTTGAGAGGATGCAGGAAAACCGGGCAATAATCGCAGACAGAAGGGAAGGTGGCGACCTCAGGGTTTGCCCAGCATCAGCAATTTGCCTGCCGGGAGTGGCTCGGTTCGTCCCGAAGCCAAGGGGAACTGGGGCAAGACTTACCATGACCAGGGCAACGGCTATGGGGAATTTGTGCGGGTCTGATACCATTATATTGCGGGTGTTTGAGAAGTTGCGGGTGAGAATTTCAGTGTTGCGGCAGAGGAGTGTCGGACGTGAGTGAAGACAATTTCTTCAGCGAAGACCTGAATACCGCCCTGTTGGAGCTTCTGAACGACCTGGTTGGTGACCGGGGCCGGGTAGGAGCCGCCGACGTCCTGGGTGTGAACTACCGCACCCTGCAACACTGTCTGAACAGCCGGCGGTTGAGCCGGCGCATGCGCGAGGCGCTGGAGCACTACCGCAGTTCGGCGCCGGTTGTGGTCGACCTTCCGGCGGCGGCTGAAGAGGCCGGTCCAGAGGAAGGCCAAGGCGAATCCCTGGAGCAGCGGGTGGCTGGCCTGGAGGGTGAAAACCGGGCGTTGCGAGAGAGTATTGAAGCCCTGGGCAGCCAACTGGATGAGTTGAGGCACCGGGTGGCCAACCTGGAAGGACCGGGGACGAACCGGGCTGGTAGTGAGCCGCTGGCCGTTGACCAGGACCTACAGGGGGAAGGAAGCCAGCACAGTTCGGACCACGGCGCCCTGGAAGCTGGGGTGGTCACCCTGGAGGAACGGCCTGGCGAGGAGCAGACTCTGGGGGCGGCGGCTCGTAGGGTGGCCGAGTGGCGGGAGGCCGGCAGGAGGGCCGCCACTGCAAACGGTCGGGTTGAGCGGGCCGATGCCGAGGTCAAGCGGTTAGAGCTTGAAGTCAGCCTGGTTGAACGCTTTCACCTGACCCTGCCGCCGGACACGGAACCCTGGGATGAAGCCACCAGGGAAAAGCAGGTCGACCTCAAGTACAAGGCCTTGCAGCAGGCCAGGGAGGAGTCGAGGAAGGCAGATATGGCCCGATTCTGGAGAGGGTTTTTCACCTTTGGGCGGTGGAAGAAGTAGACAACCTGGGCGGGACATGGATGCTTCCCTTGATCATGGGGGAATTTAAGACGAGAGGGTCGGTCCTGGCCGCCTGGCGATGATTCACTGAACCCGCGGCCGAGTCCTCCCTCCCTGGCTCGGTTACCTGGATTTCCAGGTGCTTGCCCGGGTGGTAACCAGGCAGGCATCTGGCCCGGCGGTCCGCTGCGTTCCAATGGCAGTATTTCTCCCCGCATGCCGCGAGTTGCATTTGGGCATCGCACCGCCCACCCGCCACCGCTCCAGTAACGAGGGATGGTTGAGTTGGAGCAGGGTAACCACGGCTTTGCGGCTGTATTGATAACCCAATCGTTGATGATGGACACGGCTTGTCTGGAAATGTGCAGGGCGAGAGCGTCGGCCAGGCTCTCCGCCATTTGCTGGATGGATATTCCTGAACAGAGCGTCCTCATAGCCATACGGGCATGTTCTGCAAGGACCCGGTGGCCCACCGATGTACCGTCTACCTGAAGTTCCTTGACGTAACTCCGACAGAGGCAATGCCGATAACCGTTGAATTGGCCGACGTTTAATAACCGGGTGGATTCACAAGCTGGGCCGAGGTAATAGTTGGAGGTGGTGAGGGGATTCGAATGACTTACGAGAGCCCATACAATTATGGCAATGTTCGCGATAATGACAGGATTATTCCCACACTTTTTCCCACATGGCGATTCGGATAATTAGGTTTTCCCGGCCTTGAGTTTTAGGCAGCAAGAGGGGCAGGAAAGAAATCATGGAAAGTCCCGTGATCGTCTCCAGAACAATGTTCAGCAGTTGGTTTATGCGGTTCCGGTTTGCAAATGAGTTTGCCAGGTTGCCTGCTGCCTCAAGGGAATCCCGGAAGCAAACAGAACCGACCAACCGCCCCGACGTTCGGCAAGCGATATCAAAATGTCGAGTTCGAGTCCACCACGGTGATCCGTTTCACCCAAGGGGTGATGCCTCGCCAGCGGGTAGGCAGTATTATTACAGAAACCTGAATCAGTATCTCCGTGGCCTTTTTACTCGCTGCCTTTAATCATTTTAGGAGGATGAGCCATGCCCGATCCGATTTCGATCAGGGTGGAAACCAACCAGCCCGCCACGATGCGTGACGGCACCTTGCTCTACGCGGACGTGTACCGGCCCGATGGCCCGGGCCCGTTCCCGACGATCCTCCAGCGCACCCCCTACGACAAGGCGTCGCCGCTGTCGGCGCTGATGCTCGACCCGATGAAGGCCGCCAGGGCCGGATTCGCCCTCGTCATTCAGGACACCCGCGGGCGCTACACCTCGGGCGGTGAGTTCTACTGCTTTGTTGACGACATCAACGACGGCTACGACACCGTGGAGTGGGCCGCCTCTCAGCCATGGTCCAGCGGCAGGGTTGGTATGATCGGGGCATCCTACGTGGGCGCGACCCAGTGGCTGTGCGCCACGACAGCCAGCCGCCGCACCTGGCCGCCATCGCGCCCAACGTCACCGCCTCTAACTATCACGACGGCTGGACCTACCAGGGCGGAGCCTTCGAGCTTGGCTTCAACGTCTCCTGGACCATGCTCCAGCTGACCCTGGCCAACTTCAAGACCCACTCGGCCGTGAAGAACATCCCGCAGGCGCGCGGCGCCGAGCTGCTCAAGGCCGTCGACGGCATGAGCGATGCGTTCAAGCACCTTCCCCTGACGACTTCCCACATCTCGAGGGCGGTCTGGCCGACTATTTCTTCGATTGGCTGGAGCATCCCAGCTACGACGACTACTGGGAAAAGCTGTGCGTCGAGGACCAGCATTCCAACATCAACGTACCGGCGCTGAACATTGGCGGCTGGTACGACATCTTCCTGGGAGGCACCATCCGCAACTTCCTGGGCATGCGGGAGAAGGGGGCCACCGAGGATGCCCGCCGCGGGCAGAAGCTCATCATCGGACCCTGGCAGCACGGCTCGCGAGGCGGCAGCATGGCCGGCGATCACTACTTCGGGGTGGCCGCCGACGCCATGGCCCTGGGTCTCGACGAGATTCACCTGCGCTGGTTTCAGCACTGGCTGAACGGCCAGGATACCGGGCTTCTGGATGAGCCGCCGGTCAAGATCTTCGTGATGGGCGACGACGTTTGGCGTGACGAAAACGAGTGGCCGCTGGCCCGCGCCCAGGCCACCAGCTACTACCTGCACAGCGGCGGCAACGCCAACACTCTGCACGGCGACGGCGGCCTCAGCCCGGTGCCGCCCGCCGACGAGCCTCCCGACATTTTCCTTTACAACCCGGCCAACCCGGTGCCGACGCGAGGCGGACCGCTCTGCTGCAACCCGTACTTCGCCGCCAACGGCGCCTTCAACCAGAAGGAGATCGAAGCGCGTCCCGACGTGCTGGTGTACTCCACCCCTGAACTGGAGCGGGACGTGGAGGTCACCGGACCGGTCACCGTCACACTGTGGGCCGCCACTTCGGCCACCGACACCGATTTCACCGCCAAGCTGGTGGACGTTTGCGAGGACGGCTGCGCCCGCAACCTGACCGACGGCATCATTCGGGCCCGCTACCGAGAGTCGATGTCCAGCCCGTCGTTGGTGGATCCGGGGCGGGCCTACTGCTACACCATCGACCTGTGGGCCACCAGCAACGTGTTCAAGGCGGGGCACAAGGTCCGACTGGAGGTGTCCAGCAGCAACTTTTCCCCGCTTCGACCGTAACACCAATACCGGCGGGGTCATCGCGGCCGACACCGAGCTGAGGCCGGCGCTCCAGACCATCCTGCACGACTCGGTCCACCCGTCCCACGTCACCCTGCCCATCGTGCCGCGCTAGTTCACCGCGCAGGCACCCGCGCAGGCACCCGCGCACACCTCCAGCGAACATCCAGTCAATTCCCTTTCCCAAAGAGAGAAGGTCAGGGTGAGGGCCCTCCTTCAGGCCCAACTCTTGGTCAGAAAATAGAGGAGATGCCGATGCCTCACGAATCGATCCACGATCCCGATGCTCCGCCGGACCCCCTGCGGGACTGGTATGTCAACGAGATCTGGGGCCGGCGGACCACCGACGATGACGCGCTGTTCGAGGTGATGAGCCTGCAGGTCTTCCAGGCCGGCTTGACCTGGAAAATGATCCTGGACTAGCGGGACGCCTTCCGACACGCGTTTGCCGGTTGGAAGATTGACGCTGTAGCTGCCCTCGGGCCCGATGATGTGGAGCGATTGCGCCAGGACGGCGGAATCGTCCGCAACCGTCTAAAGATCGAGGCCGTGATCGAAAACGCCCGCCGGGCACAGGCTCTCGGCGACCAGCACGGCGGCTTCTGCCGGTGGTTGTATGAAACGCTGGAGGGCCACGAGTATCCGCCTCTGGCTCGGGAACTGCGCCGCACCTTCAAGTTCATGGGACCGGAAATAGCCCGGATGTGGTTGATGGCCTCGGGCCGGATTACCCGCGAGGAGGGTGACAAGTACCGGCCCGGCAGAGCCAACTAACTGTCTGGGAATGCGAGCCATCGTTTGCTTCGCGGTATGGTGGAAGATGTGTTCACCTTGGGAGTCAAGGTCACCGGTTTGATACAGCGACTGGGACTGGAAGACGGCGAACCCGTTGACTGAAACTGGCGGCCTGTCGGTATTCATCGAGCCGAAGAGCGGGATTGCCCAACTGCTTTCCCTGGCCTGCTACGCCATCGGCCGGATCAGGTACGTCCCCTGCACTTCCAAAAGTTTCCGTTTTCCCATGAGAGCCACCTGCGGACATGCGGCCATGCGCCGCACGCACTCGGGCCCGCCGGGCGTACTCCAGTGGGCTGGTTCATCAATAATCACGGTTACCGAGCCGTAGAGGAGTCGCTCATTACCGCGCGGGGTCGCATCTGCCTTGAGGAGCCGCGTGCCGGAGTTCTGACACGCGCCGGTGGAGCTGCAGTACGACGAGTTCACCAACGACATACTTCCCAACCGCCTGGTGAAGGCGGCGGACCATCGGTTGGGCCGATTCGCCGGCGGTCTCCGGACCCGCCCAAAGCCAGGACGGGTTGCGGTATCATGGATGGAATATCCCTGTCGAGTTCGCGCGGACAGGGTTCCGATGGTGGCTTTGGACCGTGACGTGCACTACGGGATGTGATGAGCCTGGCCAGCTCATTACTGACAGTCAGCCGTTGCAGGCCGTGTGGGCAGGTATGTTCCAATGACGCCGGCGGGGAAGCACCGTCACAGAGGAGTCGGGCGCCATGCCGGAGCAGGAGCAGTTTTCGGACCACGACCGCCTTGACACGGTTCGAATTCGATGATTGAAAGGCACCGATTCTACCGCCACTTGCCTGGCTCCCTTGATAGTGTTGGATTGGTGGGCTAGCTGCGGGACTCCAGACGGCGTTAGTGGGATCGCAACGACTGGTTGAGGCGTGCCACGGTTACGGGCCCTGTGGCGGCGCGGCACTCTCGCGGGTAGCTCCTGTTCGAACCGAGTGCACAGGCACATTCATGCAACACTCGGCATCTTTTACCTCCGCCGATTACAAACACCGAGGAGATGAAACGTTGGAAAAGTGACTCTGACGCGTGCTCACAAGAGACGAGCCAAAGACACGAAGCACAGGTCAGTGTACCGGCACCAGGACGGCGACGTCAGTCTCAGTAGTGTCTACAATCGACAAGGACGCTCTGGGCGAACGTTCCACCGGCCACGCTCCAGGTGTCATATCCCCGCGTAAGCCGGGCAGGTAAGCTGCCCTGGGAACCACGCTGGGGAACCGCGCTGGGATGGCGCTGCGATGAAAAACGGGGTACAGCGGACCCCTGAGGCGGATGAAAGACGACTGGTCAACCTCCAGGGCAGCGTCCCGAACCTCAGCCTACTGATCAATGACGAACTGCTGGGCTTTGTGCCTTGTCCCCCACCGGGACGCGAGACTCCTCTCAGGTCTTCAGCCAGCACTGCCAGTGGGGCTCCATCCGGTCACCACCACCTTTCCTGCTATACGAATGGACCGCGCGGTCTCAGGAACGATGGGATGGATCTCTCCACGTCGATGGAGGCCTGACCCAGCGGTCACATCGCCTGAGCTAGTTACCCAAGGCCAACTGCAGTACTCGGTATGGGATGGCGACTCCGCCGGTCGTTGATGGACAGGCCGCTGAATGGCACCGGCATAATCCAGCAATTAGAGGTTCACGTCCCGGTCTGTCGGCACAGGGAGCGCCACAGGAGAGCACCGTCTTGGTCCGATGTCTCGGTATACACTTTGTCCCGCTGACGACGGCGTGGGTCCAGGCGTGGAGCTGGGTCCTCCTGGGGGCTTGAG